GAGCCTGGTGGGCCACGACCCACAGGGTCACAAAGAGCTAGACGAGACTTAGCATACACCCAGCACCGACCTCCCAGTGCCTCTTCTTCATTCATTAAAGGCTTTGGCCATAGCTCTCTGACATCATTTCCATTTCTATTCAGGTCATAATGTTTAGAGATGTCAATAATCACACGCATGGAATGTCTAGTACTCAAGATCCACAGCTTTTTAACTTCTTCCAGTTTTCTCTCCCTCTGCCTCATCTTAGTCACTCACTCCCATGTGCATGCACTCAAGTTTAACATTACCAATAACTGTATCACTTCTGAAATCTTGATTCCAACCTCTCATTCTTTCTCTTACTCCCACTCAATCTTTCAGCAAATTTGTCATCTCCAATCCATTAACCCCATCACCATTTCCATGTCCTCACTTCTTTAATCCAAATTAGATCCCGTTATCCAGCATTGCAGCCATTTTCTTTCTTATACACTAACCCTTCTATCCCTCTGAGCAAGGAGTAACATTTCAAACTTGGTTGAACCCAAGTGTATCGTTTTCTCATATGTAAAACTTTGCAGTTGAGTGTTTCTTGAGGAAAAGTCCTATTTAAATCCATAGTCACAAACCTCACATAGGCACTCTATAGTATCAGGAAATCCCACATTCTCCTGATAAATTTGCTTTTACCATATCCATTTTGTAACTTTTCCATCTTTCCTCAAACATGCCATAGCCTCACTCACATACTCTTAGCAGATGGACTTAGCACATTCCTTTTGAGAAATTAGAAGCAACTGATTTGAATTCTCTAATCTTCTTCAAAGGATGACCAATGATCCCCCATGTTCACAAATCCAGTGGACCCCTCTTTGCTCCTGTCTTAAACACTCTCTCTTTAAACACTCCCATCTCTAGGTACTCAGGGTGTTATACTCTCCTTACTGTCTTCATGCACAATTGGTCAATCATTCTCAGTCATCTTTGCTGTATCAGCTTCCTCTTCTTGGCCTTTCATTGTTGAAGAGTCCCCATATTGAGGGGCACTCTTCAAAAAAAAATATTTGTCCATCAAAAAAAAATCTCACCCTGGGATATGCTTTGAACTATCACTTATATGCCAAGTTTATAGTTTCAGCTTTAACCTCTTCTGTGAACTTCAAATTGTTATATTCTCAACATCTTCATATAGTTCTCTATTAAAGTTCAAACTTAATATGACCCAGCATCCAGATTTCACAACCAAGGCCAGCTCACTCCACAGTCTTTCCTGTCCCAGTGAATAGCATCATTCACCCAATTGCTCAGACCAAAAATCAAGAGGCCATCATTCCTCCCATTCTCTCATCATTTATATTCAATCCAACACATGTTTTGTTAACTTATATTCAAGATATATCCCCAAACCATGCACCTCTTTCCATCCTTACTGCAGTCAGGATAAACCAAATCATAATTACCTCTCACCAGCTGGCTAATTGGTATATCTGCTTTCAGCCTTGCCCTTTATACCTAAGAGTCTACTAAACTCCAAACAGCAGTTGATTCTCAAACATAAAGCAGATTGTCATTTTCCTGCTTAAATCCCATCAGTAGCTTCCCACCACACCCAGAATACAATTCCCAGTCCTTCTTATAGGTTATAAGACCTCGGAGAATCTGACCCCTGCCAATGTTTTAATCTCATCCTATATCTGTCTTCTCACTTTAATTGCACAAGCCTCCTTTCTATTCCTCAAAGAAGCAATCCTCTTTCTCACCTCAGCATCTGTGTGCTTGTTGATTCCTCTGCCTGGAGCACTTTTTATCAGCTCCTCATGTAGTTGGCCTTTTTTGGAATATGCCAATCTCAGGACAAACGTCATGCCTTCAGAGAGGTCTTTCCTGAGAAGTCATTCCAAGGCAACCAACCTTTTCCTTACCACACCCTAACACACTGTTTTGCCCATTACTTTCATATCAAAACAACCTGTAATTATAGTTTTGTTTGTTTGCTGGGTTATTTTCTCTTTTTTTATTGGGTTATTTTCTTATAATCTGTCTAGAATAGAAGCTCTTTGAGGGCAGGGGCCTTGTCTTTTATACTGTGGGGCATATGTTCTATCTAAGCTTACATGGCTTTGGAGTCCTCATTCAAGGCTCTAAGAATCACTCATCTATTTAGAGATCCCAATTTATGAATTGAGGAAGCTCTGGCATCTTCTCTAATTGCTGGGACCAGTCTATATTATGGGGCAGTTTTACATATTGTCCTGCTAGTGTACAAGGGTTGGAATAGAAGTTTCTGACAAACTATCCTCTTGCTTTTATGTAATCAATTACACATCAGGGAGTTATACTTTTTCTGACATTTGACCCTTTAAAAACGACACTGTGAGTACTCAATTCTTTGATAGCTAGGCAGATAAATGATTTCTACTAAGTTATTCTGTGGAATATATACTGTGAGGCATATGGTCCAGTGAGGTGTAAGGAGCATACCCCAACCAAAGACAACTCAACTGGAGAAACAATTCCTAATTTTCTTTTCCTTATAGGGTAGCTAGAAGCATAGCTTGGAGGTATCTACAGTTCAAGTTCCATACTACCCTCTGCTTAACTATTCAGAAAGCAAGTCTCATGATGAAAATAACCTGAAAGGATATTTTGTTGCTACTCGTATCTAGAACCAAAAAAAAAAAAAAAACTATTCTTCAATTCCATTAACCAAATATTTATTCAGTGCCCAATTTTGTTCTAGGTAGGCCTGCTGTCAACATAGGTGATACAATGATCAATAATGCAGGAATCCTATTCTCGAGAAGCACACAGCCTGGTGGGAAAGGATGGCAGAAGCTTTGAAACATAAATATCTCTACTATAACTCTTTTACAATGCAGTGAGAAGTGCTATCCTAAAGGTGCAAAAAGAGGTCAGAACACAAAGGAGGTGGTGGGATTTGTGAAGGCTTTTTCCAAAAAGAGACACACTTGGACTACTTTTTGAAGCCAATATCACTGGAGCAAAGACATCAATCATACACAAACTAACCCAGAGTGTATTTGGAGGTTTCAGGAATGGAAATGGAACACACTATCTGTGGCATTTTCTATACCTGTTAGCAAGATGAAGTCTAACTCTGATGTCCCTCGACTCTGTGTTTGAAAGCCTCACGCATCAGAAGCGCTTCTGTGTCCTTGAACTTTCTATGCAGTCAGAACTATGGAGTGACAGGGTAGGAGAATAACTTAGTGGAAATCATTTATCTGCCTAGCTATCAAAGAATCGAGTACTCACAGTGTCATTTTTAAAGGGTCAAATGTCAGAAAAAGTACAACTCCCTGATGTGCAATTGATTACATAAAAGCAAGAGGATAGTTTGTTAGAAACTTCTATTCCAACCCTTGTACACTAGCAAGACAATATGTAAAACTGCCCCATAATATAGACTGGTCCCAGTAATTAGAGAAGAGGCCAGAGATTCCTCAATTCATAAATTGGGATCTCTGAATAGATGAGTGATTCTTAGAGCATTGAATGAGGACTCACAAAGCATGTAAGCTTAGGTACAACATTCTGTTTTCTGAAGTCCAATTTTCCCCTCATATGTAAAAGAATTTAGTAATTCCAACATCCATGAGCTATCCTAAGCACCAAATGAGAAAACGGGTGCTTTGCAATATCACCTACACATTTAGAAGTGCAATATTACATCTGTACCATACTACCTCCCCCCAGATTTGGCAGTTTCCTCTCTTTGACTCAGAGGGCAGACTTTATTATTGACTCTTGTCTCACTAGAAAACATCATCAAATTTACCCTGGTTCCTTAACCAACAATGGAACCCCCTCCAAGAAATTTTGGAGTCCCTTTCAATAATCAGTCTCATATCATTCAATAATATCTAGAAACTTTACCAATGTAGTGTTGAAAATTAACCCCAGAACTCTGAATATTAACATTTTACTTAAAAATAAGTTGTAAGACCTAGCCAGTGCAGTAAGGCAAGAGAAGTAAAATACATAAATGGTGGAAAGGAATTATTAAAACTATCTCTATTCACAGATAATCTGATTGTCTATACAGAAAATCCCAAGGAAATTTTTAAAAATATATCTAGAACTAAGTGAGTTTAGCAAAGTTGTGGCTTCCCTCATAGCTCAGTGGGTAAAGAATCCACCTGCAATGCAGGAGACCAAGGTTCAATTCCCGGGTTGGGAAGATCTGCTGGAGAAGGGATAGGCTACCCACTCCAGTATGCTTGGGCAAAGTTGTGGGATACAAATTAGTGCAAAGACAATACAGGAAAGTCAATGGCATTTCTATATACAAGCAATGAAACTGGAAATTAAAACTTTAAATTAAAAAAATGTCATTTACAGTACCACCCAAAAGTAAAGTGTTTGTATGTAAATCTAACAAAATCAGGCAGGATCTGTATGTAGTAATATACAAAGCACTGATGAAAGAATTTAAAAGCAAACCACATAAGTAGAAATATAGTTCATATTCATGGGGTTGGAAGACTCAATATTGTTAAGCTGTTGATTCTTCCTAACTTCATCTATAGATTCAACTCAAACCCAAACTCCCAGTAAAAATTTTGTAGCTCCTGACGGTTTGACTATAAAATTCATATGGAAATGCGAAGGATTTAGAGTTGCCGATCAAAATAACTTTGAAAGAGAAGAATAAAGTTGCAAAATATTCCCTGATATTAAGATTTATTACAAAATTACATTAAGCAATAAAGCATGGCATTGGCATGTGCCTGGGTGCTAAGTCACTTCAGTTGTGTCGGACTCTGCGACCCCGTGGACTGAAGCCCACCAGGCTCCTCTGCCCATGGGGATTGTCCAGGCAAGAATACTCCAGGGGGTTGCCATGCCCTCCTCCAGGGGATCTTCCGGACCCAAGGATCAAACCAGCGTCTCTTAGGTCTCCTGCACTGGCAGGCGAGTTCTCTACCTCTAGCGCCACTCGGGAAGCGCCCCCCAAAAGAAAAAACTCCCGACGGCCGCGGCAGGGGTGACCGTAGGGGCGGCGTCCCAGCCCCCGGGGGCGGTGCAGTCCCGGGGAGACAGAAGGGCGGGCCCGACCTCCCAGACCCCAAGGTAGACGGGCGACGCCCCCCGACCCGCCCAGGGGTCCTGAAACCTCCGCGCCGGGACGCGGACGAGGCCGGGGCGTGGTGCCCTCCGGGCCCGCGGCCCAGACCCAGACCTCCGCGGCCGCCCGCGGGCCTCGGCGCTACCAGCCCCGTGACGCGGGGCCTGCCGAGCGCTGGCCAACCGCCGCCCGGAGTCCCTACAGCTGCCGCCGCCACCCCCCGACGACCTCCCTCCCTCCCATTTCCCCCGAAAAGGAGCAGAGCCCCCCTGGCGCCCAGACGGTCCCCTCCTCTCCCCCCACCGCCGCGGCCCCTCCCCGCACCCGCGTCCCAGGCACCTTCCCCCGCCACCGAGGGCAGAGGGACGCTCCGACGGGAAGCGTGGCGCTGTCAGGCAGGGGCACGACGGAGGAAGTGCGCGAGAGAGCCGGCCGGCCGGCCGGTCGGAGGGCGGTCCCCGGGCTCGGAGGGCGGGGAGAGGCGCCCGGCGACCTGGCGGAGAGCAGAGCAAAGGACAGGCGACGACCGGCCGGGCAGACCGGTCCAGGGCCGGCGACGACCGGCCGGGCAGACCGGTCCAGGGCCGGCGGCGACCGGCAGGCGAGCGGCCCCCGCCCCGCCGCGCAGCCCGCGAGACGCACCGGAGGCCCCGGACTGTGCGGTGGCGCCCGGGGGCAGTCGTGGCCGCCGCCAGAGGGGAAGGTGCTAGCGGGGGGAACCTCAGTTCCCCGGAACCCTCGGCCCCCCAACCTCGAGGTATATAGCCGGGGGGTCGGGCGGGAGAGAGACACCGCCGGAGATGACGACCTGGGGCCGGGGGAGGGGGGCGTGCGGGTCGAGAGGCGAGGACGGGGTGGGGGGAGGTGCGGAGGGGGCGGGAGGCGAGGAGCTGCCTTCTGGCCCGAAGACCCTTTTCACGCCGCCCCCCACCTTCTCGCCCTCCTTCCCCTACCGGAAAGACCACCGGACCCGACCGCCGGCCGCCGGGCAGACCCTGTCCCCGCGCGGAGGGACGGGCCTCCGGATGTCTCGCTCCCTCCGTCCCATCCCGCGCTGCTCTGGTGGAGGAAGCTCGCGAGCCGGCGGGCGAGGCCACCGCGCTGTTACCTAACAAATTGACATCGGGATAGACAAATCTTCCATTGGAAGAAAATACAGAGGCCAGAAAAGAAAGTAGAAAATACTTGGATCTATACCTCATACCATATACAAAATTTCATTCAAAATGAAACACTGACCTAAATGTAAACCTCGAGACTATGTAACTTCTATTGAAACTATGAAACTTCTAAAACTAAGCATGAAAGAGAAATTTGGAGGATCCTACGCCAGACTACCGGCTCCCCAGGTGGCACTAGTGGTAAAGAACAGGCCTGCCAATGCAGGAGACGTAAGAGACGCAGGTTTAATCCCTGGGTTGGGAAGATCCCCTGGAGGAGGGCAAGGCAACTCACTCCAGTATTCTTGCCTGGAGAATCCTATGGACAGAGGAGCCTGGTGGGCTACCGTCCACAGGGTCGCAAAGAGTCGAACACAACTGAAGCGACTTAGTGCACAGGTGAGACAACATTTTGTTAGATATAATACCAAAACACCAAATCCATTTTTAAAAAATTGATAGGATTGGCTTCAATAATAACAAAACTTCTCTCCAAAATATTAAGAGAATGAAAGGATAATAGAAAATATTAGAGAATCATGTATTCAAATGAGGGCTTGTATCCAGTGTATATAGAAAACTCTCAAAACTCAATAATAAGAAAACAATGCAATAAAAAGTAAAAAAAAAATTAACAGACGTATCAGCAATAATTTATGTGACTGGACAATAAGCACATGAAAAGATTCTCAACATACTAACTTGGAATAGGCATATAAAAACCACAGTGGTGTGCCATTATACACTTGCTCAATGACTGAAATTAGTAAGGTTGACCAAACTAAGTGTTGGTGAGTACACTCTAATATTTTGACTCTTCCATTCCCACTACTGTTTAGTTCAGATTCTAATGAACTATTGTATCTCTTTACTGTTTAAATATTTCCTCAAAAACTCCCCATTGTTACTCCTGCCACCCTCCAGATGTTCTCCATACTGTAAATAGCATGTTATGGTCTGAATGTCTGCATCCTCCCAAAATTCACATGTTGAAATTTTGATGCCTAATGTGATGTTATTAGTAGGTGAGACCTTTTGAACGTGATGAGTCTATGAGAGCAGAGCCCTCATGAATGAAATTAATGATCTTATAAAAGAGACCCAAGAGAGCCTCCTTGCCCTTTTTCAGCTTGTGAGGATATGGGAAGTCTGTAACTTAGAAGAGGGCATTCTGTTGAAACCTGATTTCAGACTTCTAGCCTCCAGGAGAACTATGAGAGAGAAGTTTCTGTTGTTTATAAGCCATCCAGTCTGTAGTATTTTATTATAGCAGACAGAACAGACTCAGATAGAAAATTGGTACTGGAAGTGTGATTGCTGCTGTTAAAAAAAAAAAAAAAAAGGCGGCTTTGCAACTGAGTAATGGGCAGAGGCTGGAAGAGTCTGGAGGTGCATGCTAGAAAAAGTCTTCCTTGCCAGTGAATGGACTGTTAAAAGCTTTTCTTGAGAGGGCTCAGAAGTAGAAGAGACTATTGAGAATTCCTCACTTTTACCCGCCTCTCTCTTGCTTTATCAATATGCTCTACCTCACACTGTCTTCTCTTTTAAAAAAGCTTATGCTCCTTCCTCTTTTGTATTTTATGCATCCTACCAGACAAAACCGTGTTATTTTTCCTGAACACATTATTTTATTTCAGACTTTTGTGCCCTTTACAAATCTACTATTTTCTTTGTCTAGGATGCCCTCACTTCTCTTGTCCAACTTATAATCATCTGTCAAGATTCTGCAACAGCATCATTTCTTCTGTGACTCTGCTCCAAACATTAGCTCTTTTTTGCCCATAACGCTTTATGTTTCTTCAGTCAATAACAACTCTCTCAGTGTACTATAAGAACTAATTTATATATCTGCCTCTTCTTCTCTACAGTGAACCCTTTAATGGTATGAATTGTAACTGTACATTTAACACCTATACACTTTTTGTGACTATACATCTCTTTTTGTGAATTGTAACTGTACATTTAGCTATGATTAGTGTCTAATTCATGGTAGGTGCTCAGTAAATGTTTAAGAAAGAGACATTAAAAATAATTTAATTTACAACTACTCCAAAACATTGTTTTATGTCTAGGCCCTTCTTAGTGTCTAGAAATGATTTTCAATTTAGAGAGATACTTGCCTGAAATAAAAGTTTAAATCACTTTTTTTGGTCTACTAATGGGATAGGATTGTTGTCATTTGGGACTTCCACATTGCCTGTGTCTTGGTACCAAGCAAGATGGTTCTTTTCAAAAATTGCAATTTAGTGAAAACAACTGAGCTGTCAGATCTGTAGAAGAGATTCCTGACTCGGAGCTCTTTTCCACAGGAAGAGTGAAAGTATTAGTTGCACAGTAGTATCCAACTCTGCAACCCCATGGACTGCTTGATTGTTTCAAGGTGACGTTTTTACAATTTTTGTTTCTCCTTCTTTTTCTTTTGGTTTAAATTGTTTTTATTCTTTGGTATTCTCTAACATCATCACAGGCAGTTTTGAACAGGTAAAAATGAAAGATTTAGACCACCTTTTTTGCCTTATGTGGGAGTGTTCATGGAATCCTGGCTTTCAGTTTCTCTTGCTGTCTGTTTCGAATGCCTCAGCCATTTACAAAAGTTTTGAACATTTATTTGGAGGAAGTTACATAAGAAGGGAGGCTGGGTGCTGCAAATCCAAGAAAATTTTTCTAGACACAGCATGATGTTATAAAATATTTATATCTTTGCTGTGGCCCTGAACTGATGGTTGTTTCCTCCAGGAGACTCCTGAGTTTTTTTGTCATGGTCATATATTATCTTCAAACCACTGCCTTAGTAGTCCTTGGAGGAGCTTCACCTTACCCTCTCTAACATGTTTGGAGAGTTGGTTACAGCTGTGTGATTTGTGTTGTTAACATAAATCTGGCCCCTGAAGCATTGTGTTTTGGACTTTCCTGCCATGATAGATGGTTTCCCCAGAAGTTTCTGTCATTAACCTCATTGTTCCAGATGCTCCTCCCAGCCGCCTTGGGAGCTTTCTTTTTGTTGGAGATGGTTACAAGAACTGTGGCCCAACCTTAAATCAATTAGGCAATAATTACATGACCCATGGCTAAACATTACCATTTCTTGCATGCCCCTCGGGGACACTTTTAAAATTTTTCGTTGAAACATGTATGAAAGTTTAACTTTAGGTATTTCAGGAGCTTTGGCGACAGGAATATCATCTTGTTTGTTCCTAGTAATTCTGATATGGGTAGAAAACTGGGTCTAGGGGCAGAGTTAAGAGTAAAGTTAACTTTGGCTCAGTGTCTGAACTGGACTGAGGCCTAGTATGCTTTCTCAAGAATAATGACAGTTTCATAATTTTCATCTAGGAGAGATTTAGAGATGGCACTCTAGTCACAAGTGGATCCTAAAGGACTGGATTGGAAGCTACATTTGCAGAGCAATTTATATAAGATTGTGAAAACATCATTTGTCCACATCAATGAGTTCAGGAAAAGGGACAGATACTTGGAGGAAAGCTAAAGGAAAGCTTTTGTTCGTCAAGGAACACAAACCACTCTGCTGCTGCTGCTGTTGAGGGAAGTGTGCGCTCTCCATAATGGCAAGTGTTTGGCTTCTTGGTGCAGTTATTGGGAAGAGGAGTCTTTTGGGAGAAGGCTGTTTTTGTTTTGTTTTGGGCCAAAATGCACAGGTTGTAGAATCTTAGTTTAGTTTCTCAACTAGGGATTGAACCTGGGTCTTCATCAGTGAAAGTGTGGAGTCCTAACCAGTGGACCACCAGGGCATTCCAGAAAGGGAATTCTTGCTTAAAGTAGATTCTGTTTTTCTCTATTTCCATGAATTGACTTTTATAGAAACCAACTTGATCTCTGCCACTTCATGATATAAATCCTACGTATGATTCTTAAATAATTCTGCTCCTTTCATTTCAGTTCAATTTAGTTGCTCAGTCGTGTCTGACTCTTTGTGACCCCATGAACTATCCAAGTTGTCGTTTATCAATAGTTCATTGTTTTATATTGTTTTGTAGTGTTCCATGGTACAGATATACAACCGTTTGTTTAACTAATCTAGAATATCTAAATTGTTCCCTGATTTTGAGTCTTTTTTATATCATCTATTTCTTTTCCAAAACTTTATATATCTTTTCTGCAGATATTTTTTCATTTGTTTTAATCATGTCCATAATTGCTCACTGAAACATTTTTATGATGACTGCTTTGAAGTCTGCTAGATAATTCTAACATTTCTACTACCTAGTTGTTAGCCTCCACGTGCAATGGGTTTCTCACTCCATTTGAGATCTTTTTAGTTCTTAGTATGATGATTTTCAGTTGAAACGTGGACATTTTGTGTGTTATGAGACCCTGAATCTTGTTTAAAGTTTTGTTTTATCTGGCTTTCTCTGACTCTGGCACAGGAAGGAGGGGTGACACCACCTTGTTACTGACAGGTGAAGGTAGAAGTTCAGATTCCCAATTTGGCTTCCATTGACATCTGAGCATTGGAGGTTCCCTCAGATTCTCTACCCTGGATGGGGTAAAATTCCAGGCCCATAAGTGGTCTCTTGCTGTTCAGTGGAGATAACAGTCCCCAGTTTCCTTTTGCCCTTCTCTGATATCACCCTGGCAAGGGAGCTGGGGTTGCCTTGTTACAGGCCTGTGAAGATAGAAGCCTGTGTTCCCCACTCAGCCTTGGCTGTTGTGTGCAGGGATGACACCACAGTTGTGCCATGTTTGGCTGGAATAAAGCAGTTACTGTCTAAAAGGTTTGTGTCTTACTAAGCTGCCCCTTTCTTTGTCCTTAGGCTAGAGAAAGCAGGATTTTGCCGGGACTTTTCTTTTTGTCTGCATCTGTTGGTATTTCCTGATTGCTGGTTTCTTCAGCTCCACAACTGGGACTTACGAAGCAAGAAAGAAAGAAACTCAGCGAACTCACCTCTTTGCCATTCCTCAGACTCCTGGGCCCTTAGCCAGTCTGGCTGATTCTTTTCAC